CGGAATGTACCCTCAGACTAGTCTAGCAGGAGGTGAAATCGAATCGCGAGGACGCCACGTACGTCGTATTAGGTATGCCCTACAACTCAACTCAACTCGTCGTCAATCGTCAATCGTCGTCGACTCGGTCCCCGTCTCGCCCCCCCCGTCTTTCGTCGCGCGCGAGTGTCGGTTCTCGGACGACGGCGACGACATGGACACGGAGTGACGACGCGCGCGGCGAACGACGGGGGGGGCGAGACGGGGACCGAGTCGACGACGATTGACGATTGACGACGAGTTGAGTTGAGTTGTAGGGCATACCTAATACGACGTACGTGGCGTCCTCGCGATTCGATTTCACCTCCTGCTAGACTAGTCTGAGGGTACATTACACTACAGTACTCTCGCGCGGACTGGATGTACTGCCGTACTCACGCACCGGCCGTCACCGGCCGGTGATTCTGCTGACGTCTACTTTCGTCTTCACGCCTTCGTAGCTTCTCGACGTCGCCGTCGCGTTGACGGTCCAATCGTACGGCGCGTACCGCAGCTTGATCGACGAGTTCTCCCGCCGTAACGCGTTTTCGAGAGCTGTTTTCGTGTCCCCTTGCAGCCACGTCAGCACGCGCCTCGCGACCGCCGCGTCGTCGGCGCCGAAGTCGCTCCGGTACCACTTCAGAATCGCGCTGACGGTCAGCGCGTTCGCGTCCGCGTCGAACGTCACGCTGTCTTCACAAAACGCCTTCGACGCGAGCGTTAACTCTTCATCCAACCCCTCCGGGGTGTACATCTTCACGGGCGGGCACGAGCTCGCGCCGCAGTTCAGCGCGAAGTGCGCGCGAGGGTCCACACGCGCGAGCGCGAACGCCCTCCTGACGTCGCCCCCGCGGAGCGTCCTCCGCAAATGATACGGCGGCCGCCTGTTCCCTCGTATCAAACCCTGCTCTATATCGTTGAACGAGTACGCGTGCCCGCCGATGTTGACCTTCACGTCGTCGAAGAACGAATACCGCGCGGCGTTGGAGCGCGGGACGCCGAACCGCGCGAACGCGAAGACGATCATGAGGTTGTAGACGTTGACGAGAAACGCGAGTTTTTCATCCTCGTCCGTCATCCGCGACAGGTCCACCGCCCGCAACGCGCAGGCTTTGTAACAAAACGCGTGGTACCACCGCGTCTGCGCGTGCAGCGATCGGTACGACTGCTCCCACGGGCCGTCCGCGGTCATGACGTCGTACGCGACGTTTCCGGTGGAGGGGTCGAGATGCGCGGCGCGGAGGAACGAAAAGGTTTCGCTCAAGTCCCGAATCAACGCGCGAGGGTCGGCGGGGTCCGGGGTCCGGTCGGTCGCGCTCGCGGTCGCGCCGCCGCCGCCGCCGCCGCCGCCGTCCCCGCGCGCCTCCCACGCGATCATCGCGTTCAGTACGTTCGGCTCGAAGTCCGCGCGGAGGCGGTAGAGCCGCGCGTCGTCGTCGTCGTCGTCGTCGTCGTCGCGCGATTCGCCGTCGCCGTCGCCGCCGCCGTCGACGCGCGCGATCAAGCCGGCGCGAAGGAACGCGTCCGCGACGTCCCGCGCGACGCGCCTCCTCCGATCCTCGTCCCCGCCCACGACGTCGCGCACGCGATCGCTGCGCGCGACGCACTCGAGAAGAGCCCCGCGCTCGAAACACCGCTTGTGCGTTCGCAGCCCTCGCGAGCGCGTCTTCCTCGCGAGCGGCCGCGGGGTGTATCGCGTCGTGAGCAGATGCCACGCCTCTGCGACCGTCATGACGACGCGCGCGCGCGTCGACTTCGACTTCTTCTTCTTCTTTGATTCCTCCTCCTCCTCCTCCTCCTCCTCCTCCTCCTCCTCCACGGCGACGTCGACGTCGACGATCCGCGGCGACGCGTCCACGGTGTGCGCGTTCGCGGTCGACGTCTTCGCCTTCGCCCTTCGCAGGACCTCGTCGGAGTCGTCGCGCTCGTGCCCCGGGAGTCGCAGCCGCGGGTCCGACGGGTCGGGCGCTCGAAGCGCGCGTCGAACGCGCTCGACGAACGCGCGCTCGCCCTCCTCCGTCTCCACCGCGGCCTCGAGCTCCTTCGCGCCGCCGAGATGGGAGTCGTTGACGAAGATCTGCGGCGCGGACGTCTTGTACGAGAGCGCTCGCGCGTCCTCGCCTCGCTCAGGATGCGCCTCGATATCGACGTCCACGAACGGGATTTCGAGACGCGCGAGGAGCGCCTTCGCGCGGACGCAGTGGCGGCACGACGGCAGCGAGAAGATCGTGACGCGGCCCATGACGACGGACGACGCGCGGCGCGCGCGCGCGAGTGCGGACGCCGCGGAATGAAACAACGCATCATCATCGGACGGGGTGCCGAACTTTCTAACTTTCTCGGGTGGTTCATCAAACTACAAATTAGATCGCGCGCCGTCGGGGCGCAGTCGCGACGCCGCCGCCGTCGCCGCCGCTCGCGTCGTCGTCGTCGTCGTCGTCGTCGTCGTCGTCGTCGTCGTCGTCGTCGTCATGTACCTCTCGCACGGAGGAAGCCTGCGTTTCGCCGTCGGGTTCGTCGCCGGCGTGCTCCTGCGCGAGGCGTCCGCGCGGAAAGGCCGCCGCCCGCCGCGATCGCTGCTGGCGCCGTCGTCGAGGGAGGGATGGGACGACGCGTCGTCGCCGCGCGTCCTCGTCAGAAGGCTCGAGCGCGACGACGAAGACAAGGGGTTCCTGAGTCTCCTGTCGCAGCTGACGACGGTGGGGAACGTCACCTCGGAGCAGTTCGCGTCGAGGCTGCTCGACGTTCGGAACGGACCCGAGTTCGTGTACGTCGTCGAGGACGGAGGCGCGATCGTCGCGGCGGGAACGCTCGTGCTCGAAAGGAAGTTCGCGCGCGGGTGCGGCCTGTGCGGGCACATCGAGGACGTCGTCGTGGACGAGAGAGCGAGGGGGAAAGGATTGGGGTTGGTGATCGTCCGCGCGCTGACTCGCGTCGCGGAGTCCGTGGGATGCTACAAGGTCATCTTAGATTGTTCCGAGGACAACCAGGCGTTTTACGAGCGGTGCGGGATGCGACGGAAAGAGGTACAGATGGCGTTGTATTTCTCGGATTGATGACCAGCCTTACGCGATCGAGTCGGTCGAGTCGGTGATTGATTGATTGATGGTTGAAACGCATCGGATGGAGGTGTTCTCGCACGTGGGAGAGGGTGTTCGGTGGTCGTCGTACGAGTCGTAGGAGTCGTCGTCGAAACAATTTTTTGGATCAACAGAACCCCTCGTAGAAACTACCGACGACTTATAACTAACCTTAACTCGCCGCCCCCGCGGTCGGCGTGAACGACTCCGCGATCGCCTTCGCGCCCGAGATCGACCACGTCTGCGTCTGCGTCTGTATCAACCCGTTCTCAGGGTTCAAAACGTACGTCGTGTGGCCGTCGTACGGCTCCACGCGAGGTTTCCACGGAAACCGCAAGTACCCTTGCAGCGACCAATCCGCCTCTATCGTCGTCGGCGACGTCACCCGCACGTCGAACAGCTCCACCGAGCTCGTGTCGTTATCGAACAGCAAGTCCAGCGCGGTGAGGTATCGACTCAGACCGACGACGTCGTTCGTGGGGTCGACGAAGCGGCAGTCGTCCGCGAACAGCTCGCGCGTCAGCTTCCCCGTCACGAAGTACTGCCCCTCTCGCAGGTCCACCTCGAGCTGCTTCGCGATGTCGTCGATGGGGACGTTCACGCGCTTCTCCCCGCCGACGCGCACGACGCCGCCGAGCGGCGCGATCGGGAGCGCGCGCGCCGGCGCGGGCGTCAGCGTCGGCGCGGCGAGCGACGCCGCGCCGAGCGCGGCGCCGAGGCGGAGGATGACGTCTCGACGCGACGACGACGACGACGACGACGACGACGACGACGACGACGACGACGACGACGTGTCGCGAGGGATGGCGACGTCTCGACGCGAGCGCGACGACGACGACGCGTCGTCGTCGTCGTCGTTCGCCGCCGCGGGCGCCGCCGACGCGCGGACGCGGACGGCGGCGCGAGAGGCGTTCGCTGTGGCGCGTCCGCGCGCCGGCGCGACCGCCGGGAGGGACGCCGTCGCCGCGCGCATCGTCGCGCGTCGGAGTGAGAGAAAGTCCGCGACGTCGACGTCCGTCGCTCGTCGAAGTCGCGAGCTCGCTCTGCTCGAGCGAGATCGCAAATTTAGGGTTGCGCGCCTCCAGACGGTCGTCGCGCGGAGCTCGCTCGCGCGCCATGGACCGCGACCGCGATCGCGCGCGGAACCGCAGCGGGTTCGGCGGCGGCTACCCCCCGCGACAGGTCCGTCCGCCGCCTCGCCCTCGCCGCGACGCCTCGCCGACGGTCGACCGATCGAGTCGATCGATCGAATGAATGAATGAATGAATGAATGTTTTCCCGCCTCGTCGACGCACCTCGCCCGCTGAGCCGTCCCGCCCCCCTCCCCACCCCCAAACCCGTCGCCCCAACAGGCCGGCGGCTCGAACGACGAACGTCGCGACCAGCCGGGATGGCAACAAAACAACGCGGGACCCGACCGCGACCGCGACCGATCCTCGCGCCCGTCCGCGTGGGGGCAGGGCCTCCGCGGCGTGAACGGGCCGACGTCGTCCGGCGCCGGAGCCAGCCACGGCGGGAGAGGAGGCGGGCAGGGGCCGTACCACAACCGCGGCCCGAACGCGGGCGGGACGGGGTGGGACCGGCCCTCAGGGAACGGCGGCGGCGCGCGGCCGAGCCTTCTCGCGTCGCAGCGCCCGAGGATGGGCATGGGCGGGAGCAAATACGGAGCGAATCCGACGACGGCGACGATCGTACGGAATCCGTCTTCGTACGGCCGCGCGGACTCGCGCGATCGATCGCCGCCGCGGTCGCTCGACCGCGTCGCGTCGGCGTCGGACGGCGGGCAATGGAGGGGGGACGAGCGCGAGGAAGGGGAGGCGGGGGAGGTGAGGACGCGGCGCGACTCCCGCGGCGACTCCCGTTTCGGCGGCGGCGGCGGCGGTTGGGATAAGCCGCAACCGCCCGCGCCCGCGCCCGCGCCCGCGCCCGCGGCGACGGCGACGCCCACAGAGGAGGGCGAGCTTCCGCCGGCGCCCGCGCCGGCGCCGATCGCGCGCCAGGCGTCCGCGCCCGCGGCGACCGCGGCGACGCCCGAGGAATCCCCCGCGCCCGCGAAGCGGAAAAAACTCGGCTGGGGGCAAGGCCTCGCGCGAGGGAAATCGCTCCCCACGCCCCTCGCGGGCGCGGGCGCGGGCGGCGACGACCGCATCCCGACGCCATCGCTGGACGGCCAGCCGCCGCTGCCGTTCGGCCCGCCGCCCGGGTCGACGGGGGGCGGGCCGGGGCTGGACGGCGGTTCGTCGAATCCGTACGACATTTCCTCCTTTCGCGGCGACGCTAACCGAACGCCGCCGTTGCCGTCCGGCGCGCCGCCGCCGGACGCGCGCAAGCGCGATCCTTTTATCGCCGTGGACACCCCCGGAGGCGTCGTCTCCGCGCCGTCGCCGTGGGGGCACAGCGAGGACTCTCTCCCGGGCAGCGCCGGCGGGAGGGGCGTCGGCGGCGGGGGCGCGGTGGACCCGATCGCGCGCGCCGCCGCCGCCAAGGCGGCCAAGGCCGAAGCCGCGGCTCGGAAAGAGATGATGCGCGACATCGAGCTCAAGAAGGCGTCCATACTCGAGAAGATGGAGGAGACCGACGCCGCGATCGGCGTCTTAGAGCGCGACATCGCGGAGAGCGAGGATAAGGGCGAGAACGACCGAGAACAAGTCGAGGCGCAGCGAACGCACGAAGACGCGAGGCTCCGAAGGGAGCTCGAGGGCGCGCGCGCTCGCGTCCAACACGCGGAGAAGGCGGCGACGCGCGCGGAGGCGCGCGCGGAAGAGCGCGAGAAGCACGCGGAGGAGATCGCGAGCGGCGTCGCGCAGGAGATGGACGACGACGAGCTCGCGAGGGCGGCGGAGGCGGCGGCGCGAGCGGTGCAGAGGATGCTCGCCGGGCGCGAACCGAGGCACGCGCTCGTGAAGCGCGTTTGCGACCGCAACAAGTCGCTCGCGGCGAAGTCGCACTTGGGGTTGAAGACTACGTGCGGGCTGCCGCTGCCGCACGAGCACGAGCGCGTCGCCGTGGACGAGATCGCGGCTCGGAACGTCGCGGCGGAGGCGGCGCCGGAGCGCGCCGCGATTAAAGACGCCGTCGTCTCCGTGCTTCGACGACGCGGCGCGCACGTCGCGGACAAGGAGCTGACGCTCGCGGTGACGTACTTGAAACGCCGGGAGATGTGGAAGATGCGCGTCCTTCGCGCCGCGCACGCGAAGCTCGAGAAGGAGAAGAAGGAGCAGGGGTCTTCGAGCGGCCGCGGGAGAGGCGGTCGCGCGTCGATGGCGGACACGTTCGGCACGGTGCGTTCGGATTACGAACAGGAGCTGTTGATCCGTCAGCTTCAGAACCGCGAGCGTTTGAAGACGCTCACGAAGCTTCCCGCGATGGTGTTAGACCCGGAAGAGAAGCGGCTCGCGGTGTTTCGCACGAGGAACGCGCTCGTGGAGGACCCGTACGGGGAGATGGAGCAGCTGAAGAAGGTTCGGCCGTGGACGCCCGAGGAGAAGAAAATCTTCCACGAGAAGTTCGCGTCGTACGGGAAAAACTTCAAACGCATCGCGACGTTCATCGACGGCAGAACCACCGCGGACTGCGTCGTGTACTACTACCAGCGCCAGAAAACCGACGACGGGTTCCGCGGGCGAAGGAAAGCGCTCGCGAAGAAGCGAAGGGCGTACGCCGAGGCGCAGCGGATGACGGGCGGCGCGTGGAAAGGACCGCACGCCGCGCAAGCCGTCGCCGCGCAAGCGCAGGCGGCGAAAGCCGCGGCCAAGGCGAAAGAGGAAGAAGAAGCCAGGCGAGGCGCGCTGGGCGTGGAGGCGAGGCAAGAGCGCGCCGCGCTCGCGGCGGCGGCGCGCGCGGAGAAGAAGGCTAAGGAGAAGAAGAAGGCGAAAGCCGCGAAAGCCGCCGCGGAGGCGGCGGCGGCGAACGAGTCCGAGGAGGAGGACGACTTGCCGATCGCCGCGCCGAAGAAAAAGTCCAAGGGCGGCGGTTCCGGCGACAAGCTCGAGAGCGCCGACGACGCCGTCGCCGCGACCTCAGACGCGAAGGACGCGAAGGAGGATAAAGCGGCGGAGAAGTGGACGTCGAAGGAGCGCGCTCGGTTTCTGGAAGAACTCCTCGAGCACGGGAGAGATTTCAAAGCCGTCGCCGCGGCGTTGCCTTCCAAGTCCGCCACCGCGTGCAAGGCGTTCTTCGCGAAGCACAAGAAGTCGCTCGGGCTGGAGAAGATCGTCGAGGAGCACGCGCGCAACGTCAAGGCGAAGAAGGAGAAGGAGGAGAAGGGCGACGTCGCCGCGGGCGAAGCCGCCGCCGCAGCCGCAGCCGCCGCAGCCGTCCCCGACGTTCCCGACATGAAGACCGAGACGAAGCCGGAAGTCGCCGCGCCGCCGAGCGTTTCCGGCGCGGGCAACGGCGGGAAGAAGCGGAAGGCGGAGGACGCGGACGACGGCAAAGACGCGAAGGTTGCGAAAACGGAGGACGCGTAGACCACCGCGCGCATACGAAGGTACTTTCTTCCGTACTTCAGTATGAGATAGCAGCGCAGCGCGACTACTGTAGAACTTAGAGTCGATCGACGCATATATGAAACTACCTTCGTATACTCGCGCGGTATCGTCACCCCCCACCCTGCGTCGCGCGAAGGTACAGTACCTCTCGTCACCGACTCCTTCGCTTCTTCCCCGGCGTCTTCTTCTTCCCGAGGAACCCCTCGACGTCTTCCGCGCCCTGGACGCCGCCCCGCGCTTCGCCGCCGCCGCCGCCGCCCCGTCTCACTCCGTCGCCGAGCGGCCCAACCGCGGGCGCGGGTCCAAACTCCGGATGCGCGGGCGGCAGCGGCTCGTCCAACTTGTCCACCCGCCGGAACGTCCGCGTGTCCATTCGATCGACGTACAGGACGCCGTTCAGGTGGTCCATCTCGTGCTGCACGATCCTCGCCTGCCACCCTCTCGCGACGAAGTCCACCGGCGATCCGTCGCCGCCGTATCCCGTCACGCGCACTTCGAGGTACCGACGCACTATTCCATACAAAAATAGTTCACCGGTCAGTTGACAGGGGACGCGATCAAATGTTGAAACCGAGCTATGGGTGAAAAACTTTTGTATAGAACGCACCTAAGCCTCGGTACCCCTGGACGCTGAGGCAGCCCTCGAAGAACGCCGCGCTGAGGTTAGAGACCGGCGTCACGACCGGGTTGATCACCACCTTCGCCGCGAACGGCTTCCGGTCCATCGCCTCGAGGTCTTTCTTCGAGACGTCGCTCATCCCTTCCTCGGTGTCTTCGAGGACGAAGATTCGATACGGCACGCCGATCTGCGGCGCGGCTAACCCGACGCCGCGTCCGCGGCAGATGGACAGCATCTCCTGGATTAGCTCCTGCGTCTTCGCGGTGTCGATGGAGGAGAGCGGGACCTCCTCCGCGATCTCGCGCAGGCACGGCGTGCCCGCCTGAACGATCTCTCGCTGCCCCTTCGCGATGTTGATGAGGCTGCCGAACGCGTTCGTCGGGTTCTCGCGCCACGTCGCGTCCGTCGACGAGGTTCCGTACGCCGCGCGCGTCGTCGTCGGCGCGACGGCGCGGCGGCGGCGATTCGTGGACGCGCGCCGCGCGAACGCGGCGCCGGCGGACGAGGCGGTCAGAGCGGAGGACGCCATCCCACTGTGAGGCGCTATCTTACTGTGCGACGACACAGCTTGCGCTTTTCCACGTCGCGAGCTGGACCGCGCCGCGCGCCGACCGGCCGAAGCGAATCCGCGAAGGAAACCTCGAGGCGGACGATTCCCCGCGGAGTGGCCATTCACGCCCGCGCTTCGAGGGGAGGCGGCCGAACTCGATTTAGCCGAGAACGTTCGCGAGTAGCGCGTAGCATAGGTCGCAGTCGCGCCGTCGTCGAGCGCGCGAGTTTTTCGCGCGGAGGACGCGCGCGGAGACGAGATCGTCGAAGGGGGGCGCTCGCGAGCGGGAAAAAAGGCTTCGATCGATCTTCCCGCATCTTTCATCAGATCGCGCGCGCGTCCGGAGACCCGCGTCGCGCGACGCGTCGTCTGTCGTTTGGTTAGGTTACAACCTTAGATCTTTCCTTTGAAGCCCAGTGATAGTACGGTCTACACCCGACGTCTCTTCTTGGACGACGCTCGCACGACTCTCGCGTCTCACGTCATCAGTCACCGCCCTGGGCAACCCTCAGCGAGCGACTTCAGAATTCGACCGATCGACAGTTCCCAGATCGATCAGACTCTGAAGCGAGCGTCGTCAGATCGCGAGACAACAGACGGCTTGGCACGCTCAGCTCCACGCGCGCGCGACTACTCTCGATCCGCCCGACCCGCGTTTGTTCATCGATCGCGCTCTCGTCTGTCGATCGCGACGAGCCGCGGACCGCTGGAAGAGACGGACGCGGTTAATCAAGAGGACTCACTTCGTCTTCGTTCGCTCGGCTCGACGAGATGGGGCAAGAAGAGATCGACGAATACGCGTCGGCGCTCGCCGAACTCGTGGTCAACTCCAAACCGATCATCACGTCGTTGACGATACTCGCGCAGGAAATCGCACAGGGGGACGCGACCGCGGCGGCGGCGATCGCCGCGCTCGTAGAGAAGCACATCAGAACGGTGCGTCGCGCGCGAATGAACGAACGACTGAAATGTTTTCACGATTCGTCGTTTACGAAGAGCTCAGAACTCGTCTCGTCCCTCCCTCCCTCGCCGCTCTTCTTCTGCTGCCTCGCCTCTGTATTTTATATTTTATGAGTATACTAAACCTGCGCTCGTCGTCGTTCGCCGCTCTGTCGTCGTCTATTCTATTCATCAGTCGACCGCGAAGGTGAAGCTCACGGGATTCTATCTGATGGACTCGATCGTGAAGAACGTCAAAGGGCCGTTCGTGGTGTGTTTCCAACGCAACCTCGCGGATCTGTTCATGTCGACGTACCAGATCGCGGACGCGAACGTGCAGCGCTCGATGGTCCACCTGTTTGACACGTGGAGAGCGGTGTTCCCGCAGCAGGTGTTGGAGGTGATCGAGGCGAAACTCCCGGCGAGGCCGAACAAATTCGTCTCGGCGTACGGCAGGCCGCCGCCGGGGCCGCCGATGACGCAGCACGGCAGCATGCCCGGTCCCGGCACCGGGATGTACGGGCAGCTCCCGCCGCCGCAGATGGGCGGAGGCAACATCTACGGCGCGTACAGTACGCAGCAGCAGTACAACAGTCAGCGCCCGCCGATGGCGCCCATCGCGGCGGGAAACGCGTTGGCGGGGATCCTTCAGGGCGGCGGCGACATCACCGCGCTGCTGTCGTCCATCGCCGCCGCGAAGGCGAAGTCGTCCGGGTCGAACCTCGCCGGGATGGCGCCGGGCGGGGGGTCGCCGACGGGGTCGGGCGCGAGCGGCGGGGGCGCGCCGCCGCCGCCGCCGCCGCGCGCGCCGCCGGGAAAACCGGCGGTGACGTCGCGGCTCGGCGACGCGGAGGCGAACGCGCCGCCGCTGGACGCGGACTTCGACCCGAACGTCCACGGCGAGTACGGCGAGCTGAAGAAACGGCGGGAGTACTTGATCGACGCTATGTACGGCGACCGCGCGTTTCAGTGCGCGCTCACGGGTCGGCGGTTCTCGACGCGAGCGGAACTGGACGCGCATCTGGATTTGACGCACATGCGCCGAAAGAAGAAAAAAGAAGGGAACACGTCCCGGCGGTGGTGCGTGGACGCGTCGGAGTGGGTCAAGGGCGCGGCCGCGGAGGCGGCTGACGACGCGCCCGCGTTTTTCGCCACGGAGAAGAAGGCGAAGGAGGCGGAGGATGATGAGATTCCGAAGGACTCCTCCGTCCCCGTGGATGAAAATCAAACGGCGTGCGCGTTGTCCGGGGAAACGTTCGAGACGTTCTGGAACCCCGCGGAGGAGGAGTGGCACTACCGAGGCTGCGTGCGGTTGGAGCGTGCGGTCGGGTCCGCGCCGAAGGGTGCGATCGTGCTCGTGTCCGCGGTGCCCAAGGGGGGCGGGAAGAAAGCCCACACGGGGAGTTTCGGCGGCGGGCTGGACCTCGCGGGGATCTCTGAGACGGGCGGCGGGGAGACGAAGCCGAAGAAACGCAAGACCGCCGCGGCCGCGGCGCCGAAGCTCGAGGACGTCAAGGAGGAGTTGCCGCCGGTGGTGAAGGACGAGCCGGAGCCGGAAGAAACGGAGGTGAAAGAGGAGCCGTGTGAGGACGAGGCGGAGGCGCGCGAAGAGGAGAAGCCAGAGCCGGCGACGCGTCGGAGCAAACGGACGAGGAAGTGATGCGGCGCGATGCGATGGGTGCATACTGTAGAACACACGCGGCGCGATTAGACGCGCGTCGCCGCGAGGGAACATCGTTTCGTTCGCGTCTGTCTCTTCCCTCTTTCTGTTTCTCTCTCGCTTCTGTTATTGCGCGCTTTATTCGTTTTGTTCGCGTGCGGTGCAATTAGATAACAATTCGTCGTGTGATAAAGCGAGCGAGTAAGTACTACATCGTCAACATCATTCAGTTCACGCCGCGACCGGCTCGCGCGCTTCCTCCCCCTCCCCCGTCTCCTCTTTCGCCTCCTCCTCCTCCTCCGACTTCGCGGCGGGAGCTTCCTTCGACTTGGGCGCCGCCGCGCTCCGCGCCTGCGAGCTCACGTCGGGGTGGAGTTCAAAGGCGTCAGTTGGCGTTGAAAGGCGTCGAGGACGGGGATTGAAACCGAGGGATGGGCGGAGAGATGCGCCGGGCAAAGTCCTTAAGGATCGGCGTCCACCTCGCCGACGCGGTCGTATGGGAACCAGTGTATAGAACGCGCCTGCAAGCTCACGTTGCGCGCCGAAAAGCACGTCTTGATGCGGTCGTAAATCGTCAAACTGCGCAACGCGACTTCGATCGCGTTCGTGTCCACGTCGCACGAGACCGCGCCCCCTCCGGACGTCACCCCCGCGTGCACGCCCTCCAGGGTGACGAAATCCCGCTTCGCCTTGTCCCCCAACCCCTCGAACGTCGCCCCGGATTGTCCGCCGCGGTCAGACATGAGCTCGTAGGCTTCTTTGATGGCGTTGAACTTTTCCAAGCTCGCGTCCGGGTTTCGGTCCGGGTGCTCCGTCGCGATGAGCTTCCGGTACCTCGCCTTCACATCCTTCGCGTCGTCGTCCACGGAGACGCTCAAGACTTTCGCCGCCGCCGCGAACCGCGCCTTGGACGACGCCTGCGCCTCCAGACCGTCCACCGCGTTCTCGAACGACCCCCACTGCTCGATCCCAAATTCGAGCTCGGAGACGTCCACGTCCTTCACCGCGGCGCCCGCCATGGCGTGCGTCATGCCGATGATGTCCGGACCCAAGCACGGGATCATCGCCTTGATCGCGGGCACGCCCTCGATCTGCTCCGCGGTCACGGACTGCTGCTCCGTCTCGGGTATCGTCATGTTATTCTCTTTGAAGAATTTCTGCGCCTCGTACGCGCGCTTGTCCGCGACGACGACCTCGCAGATCGGAAGCCAGTCGCCGAGGACCGCGATCGGCGCGGAGGTGGAGTCCTCCGGCGGGGCGTGACGCACGGAGAGGACGTACTCTCTGTACTGGTCGCGGTCCATCTCTTTCACGATTCGGTCGTACGCCCTGCCCTGCTTCGAGACGACCTCTCGCATCGCCGCGGCGGCCGCCTTTCGCGCCTTGTCCTTCGCCTGCTTGGACACCGCGGGCGAAGCCTTCTTGCCGGCTTTCTTGTCCGCCTTGGCCGCTTCCTTGGCTTTCTTGCTTCGTCCGCAGCGGATGACCGCGGCGCCGCGCGGTCGCGCGGTGGAGGAGGGCTGCTGAGGAGGAGAGGGAGGACGGCGCGGCGGACGCGTCAGAGAGCCACGTTTCATTTCGACGCGCGTTCGCGAAGCGGCGTTTCGGATAGGAATGAATTCGTTCGCTCGGCGGCGGCGAGCGCGTCGCGGACGCACCGTCTCGGACGCGCGGTTCAGGCCGCGGACGGCGCCCCACTGCGCGCGCGCGAGCGCGCCGGACGAGACGGCGGACATGTTCGTGGGAAGACGGAGACGCGAGGCGTGCGGCGACGACGCGCGCGTAATGAACTTTCGGCGCCGCCGACTTTCTCGTCGAGGCTCGACACGACACGCCGCGTTCGGACAGGACGAGACGAGAGCAGAGAGCGAGAGCAGCGCAGCGAGGCGTTGGTAACGTTTTTCACCCTCTCCTCGGTTTCAACATTTGATCGCGTTACTTTTCAACTGACCGATGAACTTTTTCCGGCCGCACTCGCGGAGTCGTCGCGTCAACTCTCAATATTCGCACTTTCCAGGGCACAAACGGCCGAGGAGGCTCCGAGGGGCGAGTCGTCGACATCGCGCGATGGCGTCCGCGTTGTCCTAGTTCGCTTCCGCGAGCCGTCAGGAGCGCGCCCGCGGCGCGGTCGAAGGCGCGGCGCTCGCGTACGGCCCGCTGGTAGCCGGCGCGCGTCCTGTCGTCGCGGTCGACCTCAGATTTGAGAGAAGATGCCGTCTCCGCCCTCCGCGTCCTCCTCCTCCTCCTCGCGTGGGCTCGGGAGCGCGCTGAGGGACGGGTTCAACGCGCTGAGAGCCCGCGCGGAGACGTGGCGCGCCCCGCGCCCGCGGTTCTGGATCGACGAGCGCGCGTGCAAGAGCTGCTACGAGTGCGACCGGCGATTCGGGCCCACCGCTCGCAAGCATCATTGTCGCGCGTGCGGCAGAGTCTTCTGCGCGAGGTGCTCCTCGAACGCGCTCCCGCCGGATCGGGACCCGGACGGCGCGCCCGCGCGCGTGTGCGGCGTGTGTTACGACGCGCGCGCGGGAGGAAGCGGGAGCGGGAGCGGGCGGGGGCGCGGGGGAGCGGAGGAAGAGGGCGCGGCGGCGGACGACACAGCTGGCACAGCTGGCGCCGCCGCCGACGCCGCCGACGACGACTCCCGCGCGGCGAACGCCGCCGGCGTCTCGTCGACGACTCGCGCGCCGCCGCCGGGCGTCCGCGCGGCGAGCGCGACCGGCGCGGCGGTCGCGGAGACGCCGCGCCCGCCGCGCGCGCCGACGCCGACGCCGGCTGGGGGCGCGTCGTCGAATCCGAATCAGGCGCGTTCTATACACTGGTCCCCATACGACCGCGTCGGCGAGGTGGACGCCGATCCTTAAGGACTTTTGCCGTCGTTTCTCTCAGCCCACCCCTCGCTTTCAATCCCGACACACCTCGACGCCTTTCAACTCCAACTGACGCCTTTCAACTCCACCCCGACATTCGCTCGTATGGAACGGCCCTCAGAATCCCGGAGGCGGCGACCGCGACCGCGACCGCGACCGTCAGGGACCGTCCGACCGCGCGCGACGCAACGCGGTCGCGATGCTGTCCGACGCGGAGCTGTGGACGCGCCCGCCGCCGGCGCCGCGCGCCGCCGCGGAGGTTGCCGCGCGGCGGAAGCGACGCGGGGAGCTGCGCGCGCGTCGGCTCGAGGCGTTCGCGCGCGAACGGCTCGAGGCGGCGGCGGCGGCGGCGGCGGCGGGCGTCGACGTCGACGCGTGGGCGCCCGTGGTGACGCGGCTCGCGATGGACGCCGCGGACGCGGTGCGGCCGTCCAGGGCGGCGTCGTCGTCCGCGTCCGCGGCGTCCGTCGTGTCGAACGATCTCGCGGCGAATCAAAATCGTCAACCGCCGCCGGCGCCGCCGGCGGCGTCGTCGTCGTCGTCGTCGTCGTCGTCGTCGCGGTTCCCGCCGTCGCCGTACGTCATGGACCCGCGCGAGTACGTCAAGATCAAGCGCATCGCGACCGGTGACCCTCGCGACTCGCGCGTCCTCCCGCGCGCGGTGGTCTTCCGGCGGAACGTCGCGCATCGACGCATGGCGTCTTCGCGCGGCGCGTCGAGAATCGTCCTCCTCGCCGGCGCGCTCGAATACCAACGCGGCGAGTCCCCCGCCGCGCCGAGGCTGTCCTCCATGGACGCGCTTCTGGACCAGGAGCACGAGCACCTGCGCGCCGCGGTCGCGCGCGTGTGCGACCTCGCGCCGGACGTGCTGTGCGTCGAGCGCACCGTCGCGAGGTTCGCGCAGGAGCTGCTTCTCGAACGCGGCGTGTCGGTGGTGCTGCGCGTAAAGACGAGCGCGTTGCGACGGCTCGCGCGGAGCACGGGGGCGTCCATCGCCGCGGCCGTGGACGAGCTCACGGAGAACGCGGTCGGCGTGTGCGGGGAGTTCCGCGTGGAGTCGCACGCGGAGACGCGCGAGTTGGGCGAGGAGGGAGAGGGAGAGGACGCGGGCGGCGGCGGCGGCGGCGTGAAAACGTTGATGACGTTCGATAAGTGCCCAGCCGTCGGTCTCGGGTGCTCGGTGCTTTTGAAAGGCGCGAGCGCGCGCGAGTTGGGCGTCGTGAAGACTGCGCTGAGAGACGCGATCGTGTGGGCGCATCACGCGGAGAGGGAGGGCGCGTGGCTCGCCGCGTTTGCGACCGCGGCGGCGGACGACGACGACGACGACGCGACGTCCGAGTGGCCGCCGCCGCCGCCGCAGTCGCGCGCCGTCGCGATCAGGCGCGTCCTCTTTTCACACTGGTCCCCGTACGACCGCGTTCGCGTTGTGAACGCCGATCCTTAAGGACTTTCTCTCCCGGCGTTAGTTTCTCTCCGCCCACCCATCGCTTTCAATCTCGACACACCGCGACGCCTTTCAACTCCGTCTGACGCCTTTGAACTCCACCCCGACGTCGCTTCGTATGGACAATTACCCTCAGCGCGTCGTCGTTTTGCGCGACGCGCGGGGTGATGTGCGACCCGCCGAACGTCACCCCGGACGTGATCGCGCACTACGGCGCGCGCGACGTCCCGCTCGGTCGGTTCATCCGCGACTGCCTCGACGACGACGCGTCGGCGGCGACGGCGGCGGCGTCGGCGACCGCGGCGGGTGCCTCCGCCTCGGACAACGCCGGCGCCGGTTCCGGGACGTCGTCGAAAACGTCGTCGAGCTGCGTCAATCGAGACTGCGTCGCGCGCGCGGAGACGCACGTGAAGACGTTCCTCCTCCACGGCGGCCGGGTCGTCCTCCGCGTGAGACGCGACGTCGACGTCGACGTCGACGCCGCGCACGCCGCGCGCGACGAGGACGAGGACGAGGACGAAGACGGCGACGAGCGCGAGGCGGCGGCGGTGTGGCACTGGAGCCGCCGCCGCGGCCGCCGCGACCGCGCCGGCGCCGGCGCGTCCCCGGACGGCTTCGGCAGCGCGTTCGGCGTCGGCGTCGGCAGAGGCGCGGAGTGCGTCGCGGACGACCGCCCCCCGACCGAGGGCGACGGCGCGTCCCGGGGCGACGCGCTGTACCGTCGCCCCGCGGCGTGCGTCGTCGGGCGAGTGCCGGTGCCGAACGACGCGCTCGAGATGAGCGTCTCGCGGTTTTTGCAGCTCGCGACGACGCCGGGCCCGGGCGGCGGCGCGCCCGGTCTCGCGACGACGTTCACCGAGCGCGCGTTGTACTTCGCGACGTCGACCGCGGTGATGTGTCTCACCGTGGACGCGATCGCGCCGCTGGAGATTCGCCGCCCGAGCGCGGTCCTCGCGCCCGCGGCGTCCGGCGAGAAGGAGGGCGGCGGCGGAGGCGCGGCGATTTGGGCGGCGGAGGAGAAGGAGGAGCCGACCGCGGCGGTTGCGGCGTGCGTGCGCGGGGAGGCGTACCGCGCGAGGCTGCGCGCCGCGCGAAATGCGGCTCTCGCGCCGCCGCCCGCGGGGAAATCTCCGAGGAGAAACGGCCGGCACGGCAGCGGCAGCGGCGCGAGCTTCGCGTCGTTCGACGCGAACGACGCGACGACGGAGCCGCCGACGCCGCCGACGCCGCAGCAGCCGACGACGACGACGACGCCTCCCCCCGCGTCCGCGTCCGTCGAGAAAGAAGCCGACGCCGCCGCCGACGCCGCCGCCGTCGACCCGACGCGCGCGGCGTTGCTGTCGAAGTCCAAGACCCACGTCCGCTTGGACCTCCCCCCGTCCGTCGCCACGGGGGCGTCGCACGCCGTGACGGCGTATTACGCCGTGCAGTTCGACGCGCTTCGGAGACTGACGCTCAGAGGCGCCGGCGCCGGCGCCGGCGCCGCGCGCGCCGACTCCGACGACGCGGACGCGAACGCGGACGCGGACGACGACGCGTCGTTCGTCGAGTCGTTAGCGCGCGCCGCGCCGTGGGAAGGCGGCGCGCTCGGAGGCAAATCGCGCGCGTACTTCGCCAAGACGAGCGACGATCGGTTCATCGTGAAGGAGGTGTCCAGGGCGGAGCGCAACGCGTTTCTCGACCACGGCGTCGGATTCGCGTACTTTGCGTACGTGGAGTCGCGTCTCGAGGACGAGGACGGCGTCTCGGGGACGTGCCTCGCGAAGATTCTCGGGATGTACCAGGTCGCGACGCGGAGCCCGATGGAGTCCACTGGTAGGACGGGGGAGGAGATTTCGCGCGGCGACGGCGGCGACGGCGGCGGCGGCGGCGGCGGCGGCGGCGGCGACGACGAAGACAAAGACAAAGAAGCCGCGCGGTTCAAAGAGACGAAGCTCGATTTTCTCGTCATGGAGAACGTCTTCTACGGCCGCGACGTCGCCGCGGGGGCGACGCGCGCGGACGAGGTCCCTCCGCCGTGGCGAACGTACGACCTCAAGGGGTCTCTACGCGCGCGCTACGCGCCAGCCGGGGGGGACCGCGACAAGCCGCCGGACGCCGCGGGCGCCGGCGCCGCCGGCGGGTCCCCGAGAGTGTCCGGAGCTTCCACGGCGACGTCGTCCGCGAGCGCGAGCGCGACGACGCCTGCCGTGCTTCTCGACGAGAACCTCATGGAGGTTCTCGCGACGGACCCGATACTCGTCACCGAGCGTTCGAAGCGCGCGTTGGACGCGGCTTTGAGACGCGACGCCGCGTTTTTATCCTCTCTGGGCGTGATGGATTACTCCCTCCTCGCGGGCGTCGATCGACGCGCGGACGAGCTCGTCGTCGGCGTCGTCGATTACCTGCGGCAGTACACGTGGGATAAGCAGCTCGAGACGTACGTCAAACAGAGCGGGCTCGTCGGCGGCGGCGGCCCGGGGAAGACGCCGACGGTGATATCTCCGGGGCAGTACGAGAAGCGATTCGCGACGGCGATGCGGCGGTACTTCGTGTGCGTCCCGGACGACGACGACGATCGCGAAGGGAACTGAAACGACGGAAACGGCGCTCCTTTGAGCGTTACGAATCAGTAGTAAGCGAGTGTGAACGCAACGCGACACGTGCGCGCGCATGCGATGACAACAACAAGTATTAGGTAGTAGTGATACATCGAGCGATCCCTCCGTCGGTCTTCTTCGATCAGCGCCTTCGATTACTAAAGTCTCGCATCACGTCCGTTGAGTCAATCGTCGCACCGTTCCCGCCGCGCAGCGGCCCGCCCTGAACCTCTCCCGAGCCGTACGACGACGGCCGCCGCTGCCGCTGCTGCTCGACGCGACCGCCCTCGACGCCTCGCCTTTCCCCGCCGCCGCGTTCGAAGCTTCCGTCCGCGCGCCGTCGCAGCGGCCTTCGCTCTCCTCGCTCGCCGCCGCCGCCGCCCCCCCCTCTCCCACCGCCGCCGCCGCCTCTCCCGCCGCCGTACGACCCCCCGGGGGCCGACCCTCTCCCGCGCCCGCCGCCGGGCCCGGACCCGGGCCCGGGTCCGTGCCCCGCTCCGCCGTCGTGCGCGCGTTCGCGTTCGAAGGACGACGACCGATCCGGGCGATCCCCAAAGTCCCCGCCGCCGACGAACCCGATCCCCCCGCGTTCCATCCGGCGCCTCGCGACGTGGTACTCCTCCGCGACGGGCGCCACCGACGGCCCGGAGAACAGCGCGTCTCTGCACCCCTTCGCGAGGTCGATCTCGTCCATGCCCTCTCTGCGCTGGACGTTGAAGGCGAAGAAATCGGACGCGGCGACGACGCGGTCGTCGCCCTTGGCGTGCGCGGCTTCTCGCACGAGACCGTCGACGGCGGTGGACTCCTCCTTGGCGAGCGCGGACATGTCCTCGGGCGGCGTCTCCGGCAGCGCCATGTCATCATCCACGTCATCATCCACATCATTCGCCACGTCATCCAGGCCTCTGACCGCGCCGGACGCGACCCCGGAGGCGCCGTACCGGTTGCTGAAGTGCGTCAGCAGCAGGTTACGCGCTCGGATCAACCTCGCGAACGCGCCCGCCATCGCCGACGTCGAGTGTCCCTTATACAGCGCCTCGTCGCGCTTAAACGCCGCGAACGTGCTCTCGTGCACGAGAACGTCCGCGCCGCGCGCGAGCTCGGCGATCGCGACGCTGTCGCACGTGTCCCCGAGGAGGCAGAGGCGGCGCCCCGGGCGCGTCGGACCGAGGACGTCCTCCGGGCGGATCGTGACGCCATCCGCGGTTGTCACCGGCTCGCCGTTTTTCAATTTTTTGTACAGCGGGCCGGGGGGCAACCCGAGCGCGGTGGCCCTCTCCACGTCCATCCGCCCCGGCTGGTCCGGCTCGTCGACGACGTACCCGAAGCACGGCACCGGGTGCCGAAGCGGCGCGGCGCGGACGACGATCCCGCCCTCGTTCCCGTTTCGATCGTTTCGCGCGCTCGGCGCCTCGCGATGCACCGTCCACCGCGGCGGCGTCGCGCGTCCTCGCGCGATATCCTCCCAGCCGCGGTGGTCGAAGAACGCCGGCGTCGGGACGCACGCGTCGCCGTTGTCCGGCCACCGCTCGCCCAAGAACATCTTCACGCGGCCGTCTGCGGCGTAGTGCATCTGTCTCGCGTGGCCGCGTTCGACGTCCGCGTCTCTCCCCGCGCCCTGGAGGGTCGAGGGTCCGTTCAAAGCGACGACGTCGGGGTGGAGTTGAAAGGCGTCAGATGGATGGAGTCGAAAGGTGTCGAGGTGTGTCGGGATTGAAAGCGAGGGGTGCGCGGAGAGAAACGAACGCCGGGAGAGAAAGTCCTTAAGGAATGAAGTTCACAACGCGAACGCGGTCGTATGGGAACCGGTGTGACAAAAAAAAACGCGCCTGCCCTCGCGCGCCGTTCCCGGGCGCGACGAGCTCGGTGACGATCAGCGGGAGACCCAACACGGTCCGCGAGCACGTTATCGCCGCGCGGACGTAGTCGCAGATCCCCGGCGGGCCGGTGATGTACAGCGGCGTCGGGTCCTTGCCGTGCACGCGTCGGAGCTCCGCCCTCGCGCCGGACAACGCGCAGATCAATCCGGGGAGCCCGAAGATGTGATCGCCGTGCATGTGCGTGATGAATATCCGCGTGATTTTCGTGTATCGAAGTTTCGAGCGCATCAGCTGGTGCTGCGTCGCCTCGCCGCAGTCGAACAGCCATATCTCGTCCGTGAGTCGAAGCGCGTACGACGACACGTTCCGCGTGAACGACGGCGAGCCCGAGGAGGTGCCGAGGAAGACGACCTCCATGCCGCTGAAGTTGGTGTCGCCGTCGACGACGATGGCGTCGCTCGCGGAGGATGAACTCGCGGGTCTCGAGTTGAACATCGTCCGCTGCACCGCGGGTGAATCGCCGGCGGGCTCCGCGGCGGGCGAGCGATCGGCGGCGGCGTCTTCTCCGGAAGCGACGACGCGCGCCAATCGTTCGACGAGGTCAGCCTTGAGCCCCGCCGTGGACCGCCCCCTGGCCTCGAGCTCCGCCTTGAGCTCCGCGACCTTGAGCTTCCTCAGCGAGTCCAACGTGACGCCGGAGGAGGAGGAGGAGGAGGAGGAGGAGGAGGAGGAGGAGGACGCGCGCGCGCGCGCGGAGGCTCGACATCGCGGACCGCGCGACGAAACCGACGACGCGCGCCGTCCGATGTCGTCGCCCGCCCTCCTTGGACGCCGCGGCGCGGCCGCGACGCGCGCGCGCGGCGCGAGGCTCGCGAGGCTCATCCCGCCGTCTCCGCGCGCGCGTTCCCGTCTCTGTTTTGTCTCTCTCGCGCGCCCACGCCGACGTCGGCGAAGGGCGAAGTGCGCCCCGCCGCCGGGCGACGGCGAAATTGCAGCGGACGTCGGCGGTCGGCCGGACCGATTACGATTGCGATCCACACAAAAAAGTTCATCGGTCAGTTGAAAGGGAACGCGATCAAATGTTGAAACCGAGGGACGGGTGAAGGACGAATGTAAAAAATCAGTAAAAAATGAACGCACCCCGATTCGCGAGGGGGAAAAGCGAGTAAACAAGCGACGAGTCACGGGACGCGCGCGGGCACTTCGCTCTGCGCCGCGCGCGTCGTGCCGATGCCGACGAAGAAGGCGCCGCGAGCGGGGAAGTCCACCGCGATGGCGGACCGCGCGGAGACGTTCGTGGAGCGAGCCGCGGCGGAGAACGAGTTCCGGCGGGCGCTTCGCGACCGGGTGCGTGCCGCCGCGAAGATTTCCGCACTTCACGAAGATTGCATTCAACGAAACCGTCGTACTCCTCCTCCTCCTCCTCCTCCTCCTCCTTTCCATCGCCGACGCGCTCACCTTTCCACCCCCCGCGGTACCGCCTCGTCATGTCCTTCAAACGCGCGCGCGCGCAGAACCGCCCGACGCCGGACTCGACTAAACCCGCGGTCGGGCGCGTCATCCATCGCATCAAGGGCGCGGTCGACTCGCTCGCGCGAGAGCGGTCGTCGCGCGCCGTCCTCGAGCTCGACACCGCGCACACGTTCGCGCACCTGAGCGCGCAGATCGCGGGGTTGCAGACGGCGTTCACGACGCTCGCGGACGGCGTCATCGACGAGCTCGACGCGCAGCGCGAAGAGCACGCGCGGTGGCGAAGAGAGAGCGACCGATGGGTTGGAAAGATGGCGCACCTGGAGAGCGAAATTTGGAAACGGTGCGACGTCGTCGACGACGCGTTGGACGAGAAGAACGCCGTCTCGCGCGCGACGTTCGATAAGCTCCGCGACGAGATGGGCCACGCCGAGCGCGCGGTGACGGAGGCGAGGATGGCGCTCATCGACGCGGAGCGAAGGGAGGCGGAGACGGCGCACGCGATGGCGTCGTTGCGCGCGAAAGCCGAGGGCGCGGATTTGCGGTTGCAGGATCAGGTGCGATTGTTGTGTTTCACCCACCGCTCGGTTTCAACATTTGATCGCATCCCCTTTCAACTGACCGGATGATCGTCCTCAGATCGACGCGCTCGACGCGCGGCTGGCGGCGACGACCGCGGCGGCGAAGGAGGAGAAGGAGAAGGAGAAGGAAAAGGAAAAGAACGCTTCGACGTCGACCGTTACAGAGCGCGACGTCGTCGAGCTCAGGGACTGGACGAGTAAGGTAACGTCCGCGCACGACGAGCGCCTTCGACGGGTGGAACGCGAGGCGAGGGACGCGAGGGAAGCGCTCGCGGAGACGCGGGGGATGTTCATGTGCGTTTCCGCGCTGGTTCCCGTACGACCGCGTTCGCGTGGTGAACGCCGTTTCTTAAGGACTTTTCCCGGCGCATCTCTCCGCCCACACCACAGTTTCAATCCCGACACACCTCGACGAAGGCCTTTCAACTCCGCTTCTGACGCCTTTCAACTCCACCCCGACGTCGCTTCGCGTGGAACGGCGCTCAGGTCGGCGGCGGCGTCCATGTCCGCGCGAAGCGGCCAACGACGCGGGGGAGGGAGCCGCGGCGTATCCGGCGGCGGTGCGGGGGGAGGGAGCGTCGCTCCCCCCTCGCGCGGAGACGGCGGGGGAGGGGACCGGCGTGGGATGGACGTCAGCGCGTGGTCCACGGGATCGACGTGACGAGATCGTTCGACGCTTTCAAACGTCATCAGATCAGACGAAGGTAATTAAATCATTTCGTCAAAGCTTCGCGCGCGCGCCCGCGCCTCCGCTGAACGCGCCCGGGGCCATCCCGACGCCCGTGCCCGGGAGAAACTTCACGTGCGAGCCTTTCGCGACGAGCTTCCGATCCGCCGCGGCGTCCGCGTCCTTCCCCTTCCCCTCCCCGTCCCCCCCCCTCGTCCAGATGCTAACCTCCAAAAAGGCGAGCGATCGGCCATGCTTGAGCACGCGCGCCTCCACGTCCACGTCGGTCCCGCCCGGCCCCGGTGACGCGTAAATCACGTTCAGCGACGCGCTCACGCCCGGGTCGCCGCACACGGTGAGCAACGCCGCGGTGGAGACGACGTCCACGAGCGTCGCCGCGCAGCCGCCGTGGAGCGCGCCGTATCTATTCTGCGCGCGTCGCGCGACGGGAAATCGACATCGGCACGTCCCGTCCGAGAAGTCGAAGTCGCGCGCGCCCTCGAGCGCGACCGCGTCGAAGGAGTCGCCGCCGAGGAAGGCGTCCACGAACGATCGCGCGGTCGCGACGGAACCGCGGTTCGCGCTGGGAGGGTTCATGACGAGACGGACGCGCTGAGAGGGTGGGGCGCGCGACGCGCGGGACGAAGTGAGACGACGACCCAGCCGCGCGAGAAAACGCCAGCTCGCGCGCGGCAGCAGCACTGACCGGCCAGCGGCAGAGTGCGGTTGTACTAACGCGCCGGCGGCGGTCCGCCCTCGACGTCAACGATCCGTGCTAGTTTGATTACACGCTAGACCGAACCCAGGCCGCGCGACCCGGCGCGTCTGCGCGGAGGCGTTGCCCCCGCGCGACGCCACCTACCGATCGCGCGACCCCACCCACGCGCCCGCGCGCGTCGTCCCGACGCGCGCGAAGCCATCGCCATTTCCAATCCACCCCGCTTAGGCCTTCTTCTCGTCCTTCTTGGTCTTGTCCTGGGGGCGCATGCGCTTGGGCGGCTCGCGAATGCGGCGCGCCTCCACGGAGCGCACGCGGACGACCTTGCTGTGGATCGCCGCGGAGATGCAGTAGTACACCTTGCGGTAGAGCTTGGGAAGCGTGTACGACTGCGAAGACGGGTGCGAAGATGGGAGAGGCGAAGAGGTTAGGGTTCGCTCGATGGGAGAGGGGGGGGAGGGGCGCGCGGACGGCGGGAGGGCGCGCGCCGCGGCTGGGTTCGATAGCGCGGCGAGTCGCGTCGCGAGGACGTCCGTCGTCGAGGCGAGCGCGCCGCCGCGTCGCCATCGCGCGCGATGACGACGACGACGGGGAGGGAGAGGGAGAGAGGCGAGGTGAGGCGCGACGACGGGTCGGGCGCGCACGTCGAAGACGCAGGACTCCTGAAGATCGCGGATGGCCGCGGACTCGACGATGTTCCTGACGAGGAACCGCTTCACGGCCTTGTCCTTGGGCACCATCGAGCCGGACGCTTCGCAGAACACGCGCTTGACCTGATGATCGGGAGACGGAGGGGTCGAAGACGTCAGCGACGGCGTCGGCAGAGCGCGTCGAACGATGCCGGGTATTCCAAGCCCTAAAAGAATCGAACGAACGACCCGCGCGCGGACGCGACGGCGTCGCGACGACGCGAGGGAGGGAAAGGGCACGCACGTGTCCGCGCGCATTGGCGGGCTTGTTGCGGCCATTGGCGCGTCGCTTCTTAGGCATGATGAGTGTTCAACGACGCGTGCGTGCGCTGAAAGAGGGACGTCGGATGCGCGGTCTCCGGCTTTTGAGCGAGCCGCGTCCGCTTCCGCGTAGTACTCGTTCCACGCGTACTGTACGAGCAAACACTCAGAGAGGAGAGTGTGTACGAAGGTACTCGTTTTTCATGACTGGCGCACATACGAAAATGCGCCTCGAAAAGTACCGCGCGCGTTCGAAAATCTCGGCGGAGAAAAGCGAGAGAGGTCGGCACGACGCGACGAGTGCCCACCGCCCTCCCACGCGTCGTCATGCCCGCGTCGGAGCCGACGCGACGCGTCGAGCTCTTCGGCGGCGCCGTCTCCGCGAGCTTCCCGACGCGCTACCACGACGTCTCCGACTTCCGCCCCGTGCCGGATAACCAAGAGGCGTGGACCGACGCGAGCGCGGACGAGAGCGTGATCGTCGAGATCGTCGAGCGCGTCGAGCGCGACCCGATGACCGGCGACGGGCCGTCCGACGAGGAGGGCGCCGCGGCGTGGTTCTGGCGCGACCTCGCGGACGTGAACGACGCGAGCGTGAGCTCGGGCGCGAGCGAGCTCGTCGGCGTGACGAAGCTGGCGCGCGAGGACGACGTCCCCGTCGGCGTGCGCGCGTCGACGTCGATCACCAACTCGACCGAAGACGTCGACGCGAGGAACGACGTCTCCGTCTCCGTCGCGCGCGGCACGCAGCGCGTCGCGAAAGGCCGCGACGGCGACGACGCGAGGAACGACGTCTTCGTCGTCCTCGCGTGCGTGCGACTGCCGCGCGTGGCGTCGGACGTGCTCGTGACGCTGAACAGGCCGCTCGCGATCGCGGCGGGGAGTCAGACGACGCCGCAGACGGGATCGGGCGCCGTCGCCGACGCCGCCGCGGTGAAGACGGTCGCGGAGGAGACGTTACGGGGAATCCTCTCGTCGCTCGCGATCGAGGACTGGGGGCTGTTCGGGTGAAGCGATCGACGATAGATAGACGACTGGATAAATAAGAGCTGCTGCTAAGTTCGCGCGGGCATCGTCGTCGCCTCCTCGGAGAAGCTCGCGTCGTCGAACGTCACGTCGTTCCGGAAACTCGCGTCGACGTCGCCGTCGCCCTCCCTGAGCCCTATTCCTTCGTCCCCTTCTAACCCGTCCAGGCTGCGGTACACGCCGTCTTCGTCGACGGTCCCGTCGAGGTCGTCGTCGCTGCCGTCGTCGCTGTTCTCCTCGTTCTCCTCCGCGGCGGCTTGCTTCGCCGCCTCGTCCTCCAGAACCATCCGCTTAAACGTCAACGCGAAGTTAGACCCGATCACCGTGATCGGCAGCGCGATGACGATGATCCCCAAGATCATCACGCACCCCGCGAGCGCCTTCCCCAACGCCTGCGTCGGATACATGTCGCCGTACCCAACCGTTGTCATCGTGACCAGGCACCACCAAAACGTGCTCGGGATGGAATCGAACGGGCTCTGCTCGTACGTCGTCGAACAGTCGTCGCTGCGTTTGTACGTGTACGGGCACGAGAACATCGCCTCGGACGGGTAGTTGACGCTCGGGTAACTCGTCGCGTACGTCGCGGGGTCGATCCACACGCACGGTTCGGATAAGCCGCTCTCCAGAGTGTACGTCGCGGTCGATTTCGTCGCGGGGCCCGTGTTTGCGTCGACGAAGACGTCGCAAAAGTACAAGTACGGCCGCATCCACATCTCGAGCTCGGTGTTGTACGTCCCTCGCTCCGCGTAGTACACCAGAGAGGAGCAGATGATCGTCGCGATGGCGGTGAAGAAGATGAGCATGTAGAGCGCCTTGCTCGACTTGGCCATCGTGTTCACGAACAGCGTGACGCTCGACCGCGAGACTTTGAACATTCGAAACACGCGGACGAGCCTCACGACGCGAAACACGGACAGCCCCGGGATGGACGCCTGCGCGACCATGAGCTCGAGGTAGAAGGGCAGAATCGCGACGATGTCGATCTGGTTCATGACCTGCTTGAAGTACAGCTTCACGTCCGGCGTCGACGCGACTCGAGCCACCACCTCAGGGTCGTTCCGTGCGAGCGATGATATCGGGGTGGAGTTCAAAGGCGTCAGAAGCGGAGTTGAAAGGCGTCGAGGGCGGGTATTGAAAGCGAAGGACCCTGGGCGGAGAGATGCGCCGGGAAAAGTCCTTAAGGAACGGCGTTCAACACGCGAACGGGGTCGTATGGGAACCAGTGTACAGAACGCACCTCCGCCGTGAAAATCGTGACGCAGATCGCCTCGATCACGAACCACGAGCTCGACGTGTCGACGTCGTGCGAGTAGTACTGCGGCAGCGTCTCGAGGCAGAACGTCAGCGTGGACACGATGACGATGAACAGCGTGAACGCGGTGAAGTACCTCGCCTCTTTCGACGACTTAGGGTCGTTCCATACGAGCGAATATCGGGGTGGAGTTCAAAGGCGTCAGATGGAGTTGAAAGGCGTCGAGGGCGGGGATTGAAACCGAGGGGTGGGCGGAGAGAGACGACGGCAAAAGTCCTTGAGGATCGGCGTTCACCACGCCAACGCGGTCGTATGGGGACCAGTGTATAGAACGCACCTTAGGGTCGTCCAGAAATTGCCACGTCTTCTCTTTAAACGTCAGCGGCAGCTCGACGTGCCATCCGTATTTCGTCTTCGCCCACAGCAGCGCGGCGTCGAGCGCCTCGTCCTTCTTCGGCGGCTCCGCGGCCGCGGGCGCCGCCGCCGCATCGCCGCCGGCGTCCGCGTCGGTTGACGTTCCGTCTTCCCCGCCGGCGGCGCCGCCGCCGCCGCCGCCGTCGACGACGTCCTCTCGATCCTTCTTCCGGTCCCTCTTGAAATCGAACGCGCTCGCGGCGTCGACGGTGAAGTAGCTCGCCGGGCCGACGTTGTGGTCCGCCTGCAGCGACCGAGCCTCCGCGGCGGCGGCTTCCGCTTCTCCCTCGAGCACGGGATCGCGAACTTCGATCACGGAACCTTCCTTGACGTCTTTCAGATCGAACCCCTCGTACGCGACTCCGTACGTCGGGTCGCGGAGCATGAACACGTGCGGCGGGAGCTTCAACCCCGCGGGGAGCTCGCGCGCCTCGGACGTGTAGAACGCTGCGGGAGGAGGAGGAGGAGGAAGAGGACGGGGTCAGTCGGTCGTTCGTTAGGTTTGGAAATCGCTCAAATCCATCCGCGCGACGACCGAAGAGGTTGAAATCGAATCGGCGGGCGTCGCGCGCGCGCCTTCTTCGTGCAGCCTCTTGAGGTCGTCGTGATCGAAGCTCACGTTCCACGTCGCGCGCTTCATCCTGTTACCGCTCGCGATGAAAATCTTGCACTCGCCGGTGAAGAACGTCCGCACTTGCGCGGCGACCCCGGGGGTCTTCGGAGGCGCGTCCGTCATGATTCTTCTTCGCGCCTCGCCTCTCTCTCTTCTTCTCTCCGCCTCGGTTTGTGATTAATTTAATTACCACTCGCGCTCCCTCTCGTCGGACGCCGCGCCGCGCGCGATCGAACCCGCGCGCGACGACGACGCGACGCGCGCGCGCGAGCGATGCGCGCGCCCGCGGCGCGCGATGCCGTGCGGATCCGCCCTCCGTGCGTCGCGCCGCCGCCCCCGACGCGCCGCGGTTCGAAATGATGAATCCCGTCCCGTCCGCGGCGAGCGACTGCGACTGCGACTGGTCCATCGCTGGCGCAGCACGGCACGGTTCGATGCCGCGTCATCACTCGACGACGCGCGCCCTCCTCTCGCGCCCGCGCCGTCCCGACGTATCGCCCTCGACACGATGCTCCTCGCGACGTCGTCCTCGACGCGCGCCCGCGCTCCCGCGCCGAGGTCGCGCGTCTCCGCCCGCGCGCTCGCGCGCTCGCGCGCGGCCACCGCGACCGCGACGCCGCGACGCGCGTCGTCGTCGATCGCTGCTCGCGCTGGCGGAGGCGACGTTGGCAATCCGTTCGTGGAAGGCTGGCTCGACCTCGCCGACGTCGTCAGCGGCGGCGGCGACGACCTCGGCGTCAGCGAGCTCGCGGAGAAGCTCGGGAAGGATATCTACATGGACGTGAACGGCTGGCACCTGTTCCTGCGCGACGCCAAGTACGCGACGCCGCTGTCGAAGATCATCGCCGCGCGTCTCGCGGCGGACGGGAACCGCTACGACGAGGACGCCGCGCTTCAGCTTCTGCGGGAGTGCCCGGTGAAGATCGGGGGTGGGAAGCAGAGCGTGAAGTTGTTCGACCTGATGCCGCGCGTCGTCGTGGACGACTACCTGAAGATCGTGGAGGAGTACGCGGACGACCTGTGATCGAGAGGAGACCGCGGGGGGGGATGGGGGGGAGGGTGGTCTCGGAGGGGACGACCGAAAATAAATATTAACGACGCGACGTAATCTGACGTCAACGCGACAACGACGCGCGCGCGCGCCGGCCCTCCCCGCGCGGGTCTCGCCCCACCCCCCCGTTTCCTCTTCTCCCCGCGCGCGATGGGCAAGCCCGCGGTGACGCAGGTCGAGCCGGACCCGGCGACGCGCGAGGTGCGCTCGTCGTCGCGTCGCCGCATCCATCCAACCCTTCCGTCGTCGTCGTCGTGACTGGTCCCCATACGACCGCGTTCGCGTGGTGAACGCCGTTCCTTAAGGACTTCGTCGTCGTCGTCGCGTCCGACGCCTCGACTCCCTCGCGTCGTCCTGTCGTCGTCAAAACGTCGTCGTCGCTCACCTCGTCCGCCTTCGTCTCCCCTCGCGCCGCCGCAGCGCATCCGCGCGTGCATCCTGGACACGCTGCGCGAGCGAGGCTGCGGCAAGAGCATGTGACCGAGCGAGTGCCCGCGAAAGGTGTTCGCGGGAGGAGACGCGTGGCGCGGATACATGGAGGCGCGTTCTATACACTGGTCCCCATACGACCGCGTCGGCGTTGTGAACGCCGATCCTTAAGGACTTTCTCTCCCGGCGCATCTCTCCGCCCAGGGTCCCACGCTTTCAATCCCCGCCCTCGGCGCCTTTCAACTCCACGCCTGACGCCATTCAACTCCACCCCGACGTTCGCTCGTAGGCGACGCGACGCGAGGCGAGAGCGCTCGCGGACGCCGGCACCGTCGAGATCACGCGGGGCGGGGACGTCGTGTACGACGGGAAGGCGAAGACGGGCGAGTGGTCCGGGCCGGTGCGGTTGCGGCTGGCGGCGACGACGACGACGACGTCCACGGCGGGAGAGGGGGGGGGAGGGGGGAAGGCGGGCGCGAGAGACGAAGGCGGCGGCGGCGGCGGCGGCGGCGGCGGGGAAAAAAAGCGCCGCGACGGCGCCGCCGCCGCCTCGCCGACGCCGGTCGCGAAGCGACGACGCCTGGGGTGCGCGCAGTGCCGCGCCGCGAAGACGCCGCAGTGGAGGACGGGACCCGAGGGGCCGAAGACGTTGTGCAACGCGTGCGGGATCGCGTTTTTGAAAGCGCGAAAGGCGGAAGCGAAGGAGGAGGAGGAGGACGCGCCGCCGCCGGCCACCGCCGACGACGACGCGAAGGCGGGAGCGGACGGAGCAGAGTAGACCGCCGCCGTCGCCCGCCGCGCGTGGACGCGGTCGAGATGACGCGAGCCTCGACCACGGCGTCGCGAAGACGTCCCGGGGTTCGCCGATGACGACCGCGCGACGCGGGGGCGCGACGCGATGACGCGCGAACAGAGCACACCGTAGAACGACCCTGTAGAACGACCGCTGCGCTGCCACGCCAGCGCCAGTCGGCAAAACTCATGAACGAGATCCCGCGCGTAAAAAGAAAAGTGCTAATAAAAGGTGCCTTCCACCCGCGTCGCGCCCCACGAAGAGCGATCTCGCCCGCGCCGCGCCCTCACGCGCGAACGCGCATCGGATCGCGGTCGAGGGTTCCCCGTCGCATCGCGCGAACGGTCGCCGCGCGCGCGCTCGCTCGGCGTCTCCTTTCTCGAGGGCGCGACGGCGGCGTCCGTCGGTTCCACCATCTGACTCCATTCGGTTCGGGTCGGGTTTTGAACCCGCGAGACAAAAACGCGTCGCTGCTAGCTAGCAGCGCGCTCGCCGACGCGGGGATCCGACGGCGACGACCGTCATGCCCGCGGTGTGCACGGCGCGCGCGCTGACCCCGCGCGCCGCCGCGGGCCCGTGCCGTCATCGCCCCGCGAACGGCCGCCTTCTCCCGCTCAGAAAGCCTCTGCCGGCGTCGCGCGTCGCGGCGTTCGATCTTCGACGCCCCGCGTCCGGGTCGTCCGCGGCATCGCGCGCGCGCGGCGGTCGCGCGACGTCGACGTCGACGACGACGACGCGCGCGACGCCGCCGGACGCGGACGGACCCGAGGCGAACGCATACGACGACGACGACGCGGACGTGGCCGCGGACGCCGCCGACGCGGACGACAACGCGGACGACGCGCTCGCGCCGCGGGCGGGGACGACGCGCGAGGGCAGCGAGGACGACGATCCGTTCGATTACCTCTCCTCCGCCGACCCCCCGAACGACCCCGCGAAGTCGAAGTCGAGCGCGGCGTCGCCGTCGCCGACGCCCGCGGCGGAACCCGCGCCGTCGCTCGCGCCGCCGACGCCGTCGCCCGCGCCCGCGCCGGAAGCCGCGGAAGCCGCGGCCCGGGACGCCGCGCTCCCGCCGACGCCGCCGCCGACGCCGAATCCGCCGCCTTCGACGCGCCCGCCGCCGCCGCCGTACGACGGCGCGCAATTCGACGTTCGAGGCGACGCCGTGTTTGGCGACACATACGCCAACTACCCCGGGTACGAGGGCGTGTACGTGGACAACACGAACGAGGAGAACGATCGGCGCGGGATCGTGGCGCCGTCGCCGGAGCAGCTCCTCGCGGCGGCGGCGGCGGCGCCCGCGCCGGCGCTCTCGCCCGACGAAAAGATGGCCGCGGCGGCTTTGGAGCTCAGGCGCGTTCTATACACTAGTTCCCATACGACCGCGTTGGCGTGGTGAACGCCGATCCTTAAGGACTTTTGCCGGCGTCTCTCTCCGCCCATCCAGTGCGTTCAATCCCCGCCCTCGACGCCTTTCAACTCCCTCTGACGCCTTTCAACTCCGCCCCGACGTTCGCTCGTATGGAACGGCCCTCAGCGAGGTCGTGAAAGAGGCGGTGAAAGAGGCGATGAAGAACGAGAAGGACAACAACATGGGGGGCGACTTCGTCGTCGTGGACAGACCTGGGACCCTGGACGGCGAGGGCGAGGTCCCTAAGCTGCTTCCGAAGGGGATCGCGAAGGGCGGCGCGAAGACCAAGGCGCCGGGCGCGGGGTTGGGGCCGAAGAAAATTTTGGAGGGACCGCCGCCGAGCGAACGCGGGAAGGAGCCTCCTCTGCCGGTCGTCGCGCCGCCGCCTTTGCCGCCGAGCGAGCGCGTGCCGGATAAGGATAAGCCGGATAGGGAGAAGACGGGGGAGAAGACGACGTCGACCGGCCAGGACAAGGAGATGTCGGAGAATTTGTCGGACAAGAAGGTCGGAGTCGAAGGCGCGGCGGCGGGCGCGGCGGGCGCCGGCGCAGGCAACGCCGGCGCGTCGACCATCGACGCCGCGAGAAGAGATATCCCCGAGGCGGACGACCTCGTCCCGCCGTCGCAGCGCGTGCCGGACTTTGTGAAAGAAGCGAACGCCGCGAAGGAGCCGCAGTCCGCGAGCGCGGAGACCGAGCCGACGACGGATTCCGGCGGCGGCGGCGACGACGGCGGCGGCGGCGACGGCGGCGACGGCGGCGACGGCAAAGGCGGCGGAGGCGACTCGGGCAAGGGAGGCGACGACGACGACGACGACGAGAAGGATGAGAACGACGACGACGACGTCAACCCGGAGGACATCACCCCGCGGTGGTCCCCCCTCGCGGCGCTTCGCGTGTCGGCCGCGACGACGCAGCTCGCGTTGGAATCGTTCGTCAACAAGAGCGTGAAACTCTGGGTGACGCGAGATCCGTCGATGACGTCGCGGCTGTTCTTCTTCACCGTGATGGGCGTCAACTTCCTCATCGCGGCGTCGCTGTTGGGCCCGCAAGAGCAGCTCGACTTCGCGCGCGACTCGCTCTTCAACACCGTCATGGGGACGACGCCGCAGTGGATCTTCAACCGAAACCAAGGGCCGATTCAGGCGACGTTTCTCACCTCCGCCGCCGCGTGCGTCGCCGCGATCGCGAAGATACGTCTAGGGAACAACATGGTGCCGCTGTCGCCGTTCATGCACGGCGTGCTCGGCCTCCCCGTGGGTTTCATGCTCGTGTTTCGGTGGAACAACGCGTACGACCGCTGGTGGAGCGGTCGAACCGAGCTCGGGCATCTGCTCATTCGGTGTAAAAACCTTGGAGGGATGTTTTGCACCTGGGTCGCTCCGTTCGATCAACAGCTCGCGACGCGCGCGCTCGCGCTTCTGTGCGCGCTGAAAGAGTGCGTCGCGGATCGATTAAACGGGACGCAGCTCCCGGACGGCACGGTCATGCTCAACGCGACGTCGCTGAGCACGCCGTTGCACCCGGACGATTTAGAGGGCTTATTCAACGCGGAGAACAAGGTGCTGTTCTGCATCGAGATGTTGCGCAAGTGCATCTTCGACGCGCACAAGCAAACGCTGCTGCCGCCGCCCATCTTGGGCGGGATGAACAACGAAGACCTGTACGGGATCATCCGAGCGTACGGTGAGTGCGAAAAAGTCGTCATGCAGCCGCCGCCCGGGTGCATCATCTCGCACCTCAAGTCCACGCTCATGGTGTACGTGTGCACGTTGCCGTTCATTCTGGTGCACGAGGTGGGCGCGTTCGCCGTCGTCCCCACCACCGCGCTGCTGTCGCTCGCGCTGTTCGGAACCGAAGCCGCCGCGGAGCAGATCGAGCAGCCGTTCGGGAACCGCCCGTACCACCTCCCCGTGCGCGGCTTGATCATCAACAACACGCGCGATTTAGGGCAGACGTCGCGGCCGGTGCTCGGATTCAGCGGGTACGTCAACTCCCCGAGAGACTTCAGCGACACGCAGTCGCAGTACACGCCGCCGACGGGCTACGACCCGTACGCGGGAGGGTCGGGCATCGCGGGGGACGGGCCGCTGGAGACCGGGAGCGGGCCGCTGCTGTACGGCGCCGCGGACGCGTGGGACGAGGACGCCGCGGGTTCGAGCGCGGATCGCGGCGACGCCGCGGAGACGCGTCGAGGAAAGGGCGACGGCGACCGCGACGGCGACCGAGGCGGGCAGGGGGGATCCGGGAGGGACAGGGACAAGGACGGGGGGAAGGATGGGGGGAACGAACGCGACCGCGACAAAAACGACCGGAACGGGGGGAACGACCGCGACCGGAACGGGGGGAACGAACGCGGGTCGTCGGGAGGGGGCGGCGTCCTCGCGGAGCGGAGCGAGGGCGAGAGCATCACGCTGCCGAGTCCGTTCAACGACGTCGCCGGCGGCGGTCCGCTGGAGATTTCCGCGGACGGCGCGACGCTCTCTCCCGGGACGTTCCGCAGCGACGAGAGCGCGGGGGGCAACGCGCCGAGCTGGCTGAACCCGTACGGCGTGGGCGGAGACGAGGGCGGCGTGAGAGGCGCGGGCGGGTCGGGGGGCGGGGAGTCTGGCGCGGCGGAGG